TGGGTCAGCTGTAACATATATATAAGTGGCTGTGCTTGCATTCTAAGCAACTTTACATAAATAATTAGAAGATTCATGGTGTTGAAATAAAACCCTGAGATGGAGACGTTGTACATAACTAACCAATACTAATATTTAAATAAATTAAATTTTTTTTTACTAACAAGACTAACACCACCAGTACTCAGGGTTGTTAAGTTTTAGAAAAGTTTGAATAACGCCTTCCAAGAAAACAGATGTTCTAATTATTTAAAGTCGATTTCTGTAAAATACAGTATTTTTTGACCATTTTGTAAATGATAATTTTTGTCAGTCTATTCAGTCTGTCTGCTTTGTTGGGCTGTGATGCTCAAGAAAAATAATATAAAACACATTTTTTCAGGTAAAAATGCAAGAAAAATATGCATTCTGAAATTCAGAGCCATGTTATTATTTGTATCTGCAGTATCTATCTTGTTTTAGATATGAATCTGAAATATTTCTCAAAATACAAATTTTTGTAAACCAAAGTTTATACTTTTTTTATTTGTTGTAAGACCAAATGTATATATTTAAGTGAAAAAAGGATGTTTGTGAGATATATTTTGTATGATATTGTATATATGTTTATGTTTTGTATGTTTGTTTTAAATGAATTTGAGATGTTACTAATGTATATAAGTTTTGAGAGATGCTAAAAATCCTATTACAGAGTATATATTTTGTATGAAAGTTGAATTTGTTTTTGTATGAAAGCCAGTTAGCTGTAACTTGTAATTCTTTCTAAACTTCTTCTACAAAAATGCATATTCAGAAAAATTTTACTTTTATTTTTTTAAACGATTTGGCGATGAATATTGACATACAGTCATATTATAATTTAGTGAAACTAATCGTGTATCTAAATTGCCTTGTGTATATTTCATGAATTGCATTTATAGAGGCAAGAGTTGTTTTTTTGAAAATTTTGAAATCATTATACTGAGCAAAAATTACCTTTATACCAAATCAGTAACCATAGAGATACATTTTGTAACTTGCATAATATTATGCAAATGACATACATATGTATATTACATTACAGACATTCTAACATGCTAGCCAATGTGTGTTCATACACAAAGGTAATTCTTGCTCAGAATTTCATGGTTTAAAATGTTTGCAAAATTTAACAACACAACTCCTCCATAGATAGAAATTAAAGATGCTTTATGGACGAAAAAATATATTCCTAATATTTTTGTTTAACACTCCATCCTGTAGACCAAATTTGATTAAGGACAATTTTACGTTTGCAGGACACAACACAATGTTCACAAGATGAAAAAACACTGATATTCATATGCAGTGATTATTATTTTATGTAGCAAAACAAGCAGTGCACATGTGTATTAAATTGTCATTGCTTCACTGAATGAATATTCAGATGTGGGCTACAAGAACAGAGTTTTCAGTTCATGATAATTATTAGTCTAATGTTTAAAAATTACATATTGTCGTTCATATAGTATCTTTAACAGCACTGTAATGGAATTACCAGTTGCATTATTCAGAAATATGTTTGTATGAAATGTACAAGTTATTGTATAAATCATGTGTATAAGTGAAATTTTTTTTTGTACATTTGTATGTAAGATTATAATAAATATTAACACAGTATTCTGTGTGTTTTGAGTTTTCGCAGCCAATGTGTGCTCGTGAGTACACAATGCAAGTATGTAATGAATTTGTAAATATCGGTACTATGTTATCTCCCTTCTTTAATCCCGTTTCTATATCCCAGTGACTCTGTATCCCCTCCTTCCCAGTATTCAGTTGATTGTTCCCTGGTATCCGAGTATTCAACCCATGTTCCTTTATCCCAGTAACCTTTTATCACTCCCTCCCGGTATTCAATGCATGTTCCTTTATCCCACTTATGTAGTTCCCCTTTCTCAGCATTCAAACAATGTATTTTTGTCCCAGTATTGAGTAACATTAAACAATGAAGTCATCTTTGGCAGTATTCAATCCATGATCAAATCTCAAAATTCAACTCTAGTCAAATGAATGAGAGCAATCAATCACCATTCCTCTATCCAAAGACCTTGTATTCTGGGCATTTATTCCATGTTCCTTAATCCCAGTAATACTGGGTATCTCCTTCCCAGTATTCAATCCATATTGTTTCTCTCTATTATAAGTATTTTATCCAAACATGTATGTTTTGTTCCAATTTACTGCCACATTTTCTTGTACTATCTTCTCTCTTAAAGCATTACTTTCATCTCTTTCACTTTACTGCCTCTTTTCATGTATAACATAAATTCAAAATTATTTAAAGTTAAATAGTATAGATTTAGTTGAATATAAATCTGTGTAACAACCTACCACTTACTTGTTACTATGAATGCAATAAAAACTGGACATTAAAAGTGTACTGTGTTGTCTGCATTACTTTCTTTCACCCAACAATATATAAAACAAAGGAAACCATTGACTTTTGTGAGGGCGCCATCTATAGCCTGCTGTCAACTTTGTTAGAAACAATGTATTGGCTGAAATATCTTGATGGTAGAAACTGCCTCGTTCTGAATTATATTCACATTTCTCTGCAAACCCTAATGACTACCAGGATATAAACAAAAGAATCTGAATTGTTGGCTGTGAGGGCGGCATTTATAGGTAAAGCCAAAATACAAATACTGTGGCACATCTTGTAATGTGAAGAACACATTCAACTGACACGAACAAAAGAACAGAAGGAGGGCGCTATTTACGGAAACCTGTTCAATACATATAGCATAACTATTGCAACCTTGCCCATTTAGATTCTAAATATTAAATACAAATTCAGAAAATGAATACAACTATGTACTTGCTGCTTTGTACAATATTTTCTTGCTGGGTAAAAGAATTAAATTTCTGAAACAATAAATGTAACTAACAATTTTGCACAAAAGATGTCAACAAATGGTGGGAACAATTCTGAGCAAAACCAGGAAAAATGTGGTCATGAGGAAAATGAACATTCATTTTCCTTCAATTAATACTATAAAACAGTAAAAACTTCAAAATATTTTCTTAAAAAAATTGGCAAAGTAATTATTTGGTGTATTTTTGTAATTTATTGTCTACTTAAATTCTGACTGATAACAGGGTTGTTTGTTTTTGTTCTCCAAAATTTCCTAAGTACTAGTATTTGTTTTCCAGTCAGATGCACAAAGTACTGGGGATCACAGGTACCATGCAACTCCCAGATATTCACTAGCCGAAAGATTCTTCTCTTGCCTGATAAAGCCCTGATCACCCCCCCCCCCCTTCTGGGGAAAAAAAACTACCAGCATGACATACACATTTTCAACTGCTGCATGTTTTTCTTGTCCTAAAGAAGGGTGTTAACAATTTGACATCGGTTTGTATTTCTGAGAAGCATAAGAAAAACTTAACACAATTTACTATTTTGCTGCATCAAGAATTTTATTACCTAGACCACACACATGCTACATGATGAGAGAATAAACAAATACACATTCTTCACTTGGCAGCAGAAAATTCTAATCTAAAAACAGCGAAATTGGTAAAAAGACAAGAATGTGAAATTATCAAACAAATTTTTATACATATATTAAAAGTCCAAGGGTGAATATTAAAATCCAAATATACATATTGAGAAAAGATACGTTTTAAAATCATTTGAAAGGGAATGATAGCTTTGCATAGATAGAAAAAATGTACAGCACATTTATGAGTGATCTCATGGTGACGTTTCCTACTACTGGTAAACAATTTCCAATTTTGCTTTCTGGTATACTGTCCACCGTTTAATTTTCTCTGCTAATAATGATCATGATTTGATAAATATTATGACAGACAAATTTTTAGAAAGGCACCTTGACACATCAGCTTAGGTTCCAAAATGAAATGTTTACTGTTCTAAAATATCGCAGTATAACTCTTTAAAATTAAAGCGGTTGACAGTATCTTTTACAAACATCATGAACTGCAAAAGAAAACTCAATAAGGAACTAAGCAATCTGGTAAACATCTTGGAATGTTACTCCACATTTATAAATTATAAGAGATGTACAAATATTGCACAAATGCATGAAGGGAGTAGAGCAAAAGTAATGGGTGTGTACAGAGGTTGCCATCTTCGGCAGCCAAGGCTTAAGTTCATCCAATATGAATACCTCCAAACAAATGGACAGTCTAGCTTTAGCAAAACTGTATGATTCTGAAGATTGCAACCATGGAGCGCCCTATTGCATATATTGAGATATCCTTGTGATAATTATTATACATCTACTTCCTACATCTACTTCCTATGAAATCAGAATCTGATATAAGCATCAAGTTTAAAAAAACTACAGCCACACTAAGTGGGGTATATGCTAACTTGGTGATAAATCTTGGAAATATGTTAAATTGTGACCAATGTAAATTGTTAATAAATATTAAAACAAATCAGCAATTCGGAATGTGGGTCAGTACAACAAACAGATAGAAAGCCTGATTATCCGAGTCAGTAACAAGACCAATAATAGCATAGATCTCGGTCACAGCAAATGTTATAGGTCTTAGGCAGTTTATATGTTAAAGCACATGATATATGTTGTATACATTGCATGGAGCCCAAAACAAACAAGATGGAGCCAGGCAGTCATGGTGCTTTAAATTAATATAAACTAAATACAGTTGATAAATAAGGTAAACATATAAATAACATCTCCATTGCTAATGGTTGTTGTATCAACTATTTTACAGACTCCGAAATCAAGAATTTATTACCATCATCTTAGTGACTGATTAAGTACATTCCTATCAACAAAATAGAATGAATAAGATCTACAGATAAAAGTTTGATAATAAATAACTAATTGAGCATAGAGAATGTGTTGAAGTCTAAAAAGTAATTTTGCTTTGTAAAAAGTGATAAGTATTTATACATTTAAAAAAAACTTTAACAGCCAGCAAGACCTGTTTGGCACTTAAAAACCAAGATTAAATAGTATAAAAGTTAAAATAAATAGAATAAAAGCAGTATATTTGTAGAAATGACTACAACATGTTAACCACTCCAAATACATTACAATAATAACTACCATTCGGTTAAAATATGTTTTACAGAATTAATAATAAACATTATTTGTTTGTAATAGTTATAGTTATTGACTTTGGTGAATCTTCAAAACATTCTTTATGATTATAGATTGCAACATAATAGAATGGCCAATAGTGTATACATGATCAAAAATGAAAGCAATGTTGAAATCAACACTAACATATGTTTTTGATAAATACATTTAAATTATAATGAATAATTTATATTACATAAATCCATAAATTGTTATAGAACATACTATTGGTAGCACACACTATTGTCACTATTCAAACACATCATACAGCCTATGTAGGAATAGTTATAGACATTATAATACAAAGTTGAAATCTGAGTATGGGAAATCGTCTTGGTGTACAACCTGCTGTATATTCATTTTCAGTGATAGGGGTGAAACAATAAAAATACCATTAATTAGTGATTCATCTTTACATGGCAGCCAGTAGCATTTTGACTTAACGAAAATGAAAACAATGTTGGAAACAACATTGACGTATGTATCCGTGTAAGACATACAGATAAGCATGAAGAATCTGAAAAGACATTGTTTTATATATTATATTTTCAGCTACATTAGTCATGCACGCTATTGGTGATGTGCTTCTAACAAATATGGTATACCTAATTATTATAATAATAAATAATATACTGACCATATTGGCCAATAGGCATGTTGAAAGCATCGTATATACAAATGTGTTTATACATATATAACTGACATGCTCTGTGTAAAGTTTATTAGCCTACAGGAATGAACCATGGGATTGAAAGGCATCTCAGATAAATGTATCGATTGGAACATACACATAAATTGAATGAAATATTACTATAATATATGATATAGATTATAGATGCAGGTCACACATGCATCCATGCTAATATTCATGATCACTATAAGTCAACAGGCATACATCACTGAACATGAATTAATTTACATACACACTGACAGAGAAAAATATTCAAATTTGTGATTTGACACTATATATATATATATATATATATATATATATATATATATATATATATATATATATATATATATATATACATATATATATATATATATAAACTTGAGAAAATTATTTTGCAATTGCCATGCTGAGGTTCAATACCTATTGTAATCATCAAGTGATTTGCCATAGGTCTATTTCATAGCTCTAAATAAACTGAATAATGGTTCAACATTAAATAATATTTAGATATTTGAAAAACAAATGAAATTATAGTAGAATCATCATTCTACTAACTTCTAACTGTAATTATACATACAGACCACAGATAATTTCCAAGGAATATTTTAGTACACTGCCAGTTGATGTCTATATAAAACAATTTCCAGATATTTTAGATGATGTCTCGCATGAATGGTTTACAATTTAGTAAAGTCCTTGTAGTACTAAAGTAGAATTGAATGTGACATGCTTGTCGCGATTCAAAGCCACCTTAAAGAATTCTTAACTATATGTTTATCTAGTCACTGATTTATAACAATTTCTGTCCCACAGGATGAATTTTATCATATGATTGACAAATATAACAGAGACCGTGAGCAAATTGCAGGGATTTCCCTAAGACTTGGAAAAAGAGGCTCAACATATGATAATTTATTCACATTCTTTTACACATTGGCTAGGAGATAGGATCACCTGCTAAATAACCTGTCACAATCTATGTTCAGGTATTATTATTTTGGTGACACTGCAGGGATAACAACACAGTAATTATAGGAATCAACCAAAGTCTAGCTGATGAATATCTTGTGTTGTTTAAATGATTATGATTCCCCATAGCACCATATTAGATGGGTCTATGGCAAGATAATGTGTGAAGGCAAAGCCTAAAAATTATTGTGTCTAGAACTTCTTTGAATGCAATATGACCCTGGAGAATTCATCATTGTTGGTACAAATGTATAAATCACTACTATCAGAAATAAACAAATTTAGTTAAATATGGGGACTTTTTTTTTAAATGAATTTAGTTGCGAATAGAGGTTTACATTATCGCATGATAATGTACATCTATGACATCATAAAAACCTTTCATTCTGATACAGTTGACTTATAATATCCAATACATAATGCCAGACTGAATAAAAAATAAATGTACAAATGTGCAAAGACAGCTAAAAAGTAAATGGAACAGCTTTATAGAAATCCCAAATAAATTATTTAAAATACAGTTCTGTATTATTCAGTGCTGGAACAATTTTCTCAACATGATTGTCAGACTATTAATCTAATGAACACTATTTATATACAGTCATGTATTAAGTTTAAGATTCCAGTAGTACATGCCATCTACAGACTTGGTGTCCTTTAGATTCTCTCATTTCATTCCAGTGTGATAGCTCTTCTTCACTACTGTTGTTTAAGCCCATTGAAAACCATCCTATCATCTCCTTCTTCTTCATACTGCGCTTGTTGTAAACAGAACACATGACTGTGACATCAGGAAGTTGAAACTGTGCAACTTGAAAGATGAAAGTTTCTTTGAATGTTGGATTTGGTTGACCTCGTCGTACTGATGTCTTGCTTCGAGTCATTTCAAATCCTGATGAAGCCATCAGCCCGATCTTCACATAGGTATCTGCATTGTTAAACAAAGCAATGATTACCAGTTGCAATCCTACACTAATTTTTTAATGACTGTTATTTGTTTCTTCTGTTTTGCAGGCTTGCTACAGAACTGTTATGGTAAGTAGCAAATAAAATAATTTTGATTGAAATTCCTAAATATTAGTAGAAGAAAATGAACAAATATTAGTCCCAAATATGGTACGCAATTAGCATAATTTTGTTGTAAACAGCACAAATAAATTAAGAAGCAATGATCTAATTTAACTAGGGGAATGCGCAATCAAACTTGGCATGCCTACAAAACAGAATGTACGACATCACTTATCTGCTCACCTCCTCTGTACTCAGGATGTATTAGCTGATATTACTGATAGGTAGAAAATACTATGAAGCAGAACATAGAGAGTACAACTGATAGCGGCACATACAAAGATGTATACATTGAGAAGACAGATCTCAATATCCAATAATTTAGCTGATCAGAGAGAAAAAGAAAGAAACTCAGACTCAACCATGCACTAACATGTATGCTATTTTAGCACCATTATGTAGAAGTGAATAAAATACAATTTGTGATCAGAATTAAAAATAGTGTCAACATGACGATTATGCCTGATTTGTGGGAAGAGGCAATTTAATAGACTTTTTTCAAACAACATGAATACAAGTCATGATGTAGATGACATAGCTGTGCTTCATTGACAGTCTGTGTTTTATTTATAGGTAATCACCTGAGTTAGAAAGTGTTTATGATTGTTAACTCCATGGTTATGGTCATCATCATTCATGCGGGCAACAGTAATAATTCATGATAACGAGTTGTGATTACTGACTTTAATACACCATGACGAAAAATAGTGAAATTGCAAGATTCAGCAATCAGCTGCTTTGCTCTACACAAAGATCTAGACTGAGGTTACTTTACATAAATACTAGTTTACTGTACTAATGTCATTTGCTCATTTACTACAAATAAAGGAATAACCTGATTACATCAATTTTTGTTGAAGAACAAACCAAATCCAAACCAAAAATAATGAAAAGCTCTATCTGCTACATGGTTGATGTTGTGGGTTTGAGCCCCACTCTTGGATAATTATCTCAACAGTTGAGGATCAAAAACTAATCAACTCTAGACCTTGCAGTCTTAATGTCTGGTATATACATAAAAAACAGAGTAGGTTAACAAAATATGTGTAATTTACAATAGCCTGCTAGTCAGAGATCTTTATTTCAATGCATAATCTCTAGTATATATTGTCCCTGTGACAAATAAAGCAAATTTATACAATAAAGAATATTACAAATAAAAATGGCCACTAGTCCTGAATCAGATTGTAAAATGAAAACTTAAGTATATAAATACGCTACAGTGATTCTGTAAGTTATTACCAACTACTGGTAAGATTAATGTCAAAGGAACAATGGATTCCTGTACATTATGTTAATGCAGTGAGAAAAATGAAAATTGGTTATTATCCCAAGTCGCTATAAAAAGACTCAATTTTTGAAAGCTAATTGGTATTCATATATCACTGGTTAAAGGCTTCAAGTTTTGGATTCAAGAGAAATAATCAATACTACTTCCATGAAAGGTAATTAACACTTAATGTTTTAATTACATTTTAAAATCTTGTTAAAATCTTGTAATTAATCAGTGGCCTGCATAACAAGTTATTGACATGACACAGTCCCTGTCATGCAATAGTAAACAAAACTAAAACCAGTCTGCCATTTTGATCAGAAATTAACATGATGTAGTTTGATTTTGGTGCACTTTTGCCTAAAAATGAATGCCAATCTGAATTGGATCTTGTGATGTGAAGTTTGAATGTAATTGGTCACAGTATGTCAGAAATGTTCTTAACATCTGTTATAGCAAATGGCTGCCTATTGGCCATTTTGAATCTGATCTAAAAAACAAAATAATGCGATCTAAGGTACCATTATGTTGAATGTATGTAGCAAGTTTGAAAGAAATGTGTCTATGCACAACTGAGATCTGGTTCTGGATAAGGGTTATAGAAAGAATACCATGACAAGAATTATAGATAGAAACACTGTAGTGCTGGCAAACTTACCTGGTGGCCTTGTCATAGCCATATTTCTGAAGTGACTGCCTTTAATAACTTCTACAGCCAATCTTCCAGTTGTTGAGTTGTATGATAAACCCACTAATAACTCTGGAATACCACCATGTTGTAATGAATGTGTAGATGACCCACTGTCACTTCGAGTTAAATCGCTCATGCTTGAATGTGCTGAGCCAACACCCTGTTATAAAAAAAACAAATTTCTTATTTGAGTGTTATAGTGAAACATATATGATAGCTGGTATTCAAGCAAGTCAACACTAAACATTAACAAGTTGTTTCAACTCATTCTCTTTAGAAATAAGTTGTGGAAAATGAGATTCTATTTTAAATACCAAAGTTTTGTCAAACACTTTTGATTCCTGCTATATATTATAAGAGGTCTACAATCATAATTCTGTATTCAACGTTACTAATATAAACCAAATCATATAATAATATTATTTAACTATAGAAAATCACTGACAACGAAATATCGCATGTCCAAGCACACTTAAAATAAAACACAAGTTCAATCACCACATCCCCTATACCATATTTGTTCCATTAGTAACACATATGCTCAAAATAAGTCAATAATCAAACATACAATAAATGCATCTCCTGGTTTACATGCACTTCTAAAGATGTGCTTCCAATAGAACAAATATGGTACATACATGCCCATCACAATGTGATCCTTATAGACAGACAATATTTGTACAAAGTAGAATGAGAACAAACATAGATACAAGTGTTCACTCTTGGACAATATTTGCTTACAGGGCATAAAATGTCAAATGTTTGCATTCTAGTAATTATCCGCCTCACTGAGGATTAGTAGTGGTATATGAGCATTTACAAAAATGTTACTTACTGATATATTGCTTCTTGGTTCTAGTTGTAACCACAATGTCTGCAATGCATTGGTATTAAGTGCTGAGAATTTCACCACACATTCTCCAATCAGCCTTTCCTTCCTCATTCGTTCAGTTCCATATAACCGAAACCTAAGTCCAGTATTTGCTAATTCATGTGGTGGTAATCTGGAGAATCTGAATGATTCTTTCCATTCTGGATTCTCTCCCTGCTTTATCTTGGTTTTACAACGTTGTTTCTTAGCTGGTAGTAGAACCATTCTAACTTGAACATGGTGAGCTCCTCCTCGTTCCTTTGATGGTAATTCTCTTGCTCGATGTATTGTTAATGTCATTTTCTTGGTCTGGCCATTGTAGGAAAACGTCGTTTCCAATTCACCACATTTAGATATCAACTCAGGGTCACCTGTTTGAAATGTCTGGGCTGCAAATCTTTCCTGTAAATAATTCAGTTTAACATTAATTCACCAACCACACGTGGGAAAGTTTATACACCATCCTGAGTGTGGCTGAATCATTGTATGTATGTACCAAGTTCTGAAATGGCAGACTTAGGTGAGAGTCACCAGCTATCCTGAATTGAAACATGAAATAAATGAACGAGCACATATATCCCAATATGTTTAACTAAGTTTGACCAAAATCCATGCATGCTAAAGATCTAAAAATGTCGGATGTAGCAGATTTTGGTGCAATTTGGCACTAAAATGGCCATCTTGGGTTGATGGCTAGAGTCGGTTATTATTGATAAGAAATGAGCACATGAATGAATAGCGCAGAATCTGCGCTTGTCCCTGTTTCAAAACAGGAAATTATAAACAAACTCTAAATCATGTAGAGCTGACAGATATCAATATCATACAGGAAATGTACAATAAAATGAAAAATAATAACAGCTGATGCATTTCTAGAAACCTTATTAAGGATTTATGTAACAACTGTGTATAAAAGATTGAATATGCATTATGAATGATATAGTATACTGTAAAACATGTTGAAAAAGTGACATGCAATTTTAGCGAATTGTGGTAAAATGGCGTAATAGCGAAATGTTGATTAGCGAATCGCTCTTGTCATTGTTGATTTCATGTTTTCACAATACTTGTCTGTCATGCGCAAAAACAAGAAAAAATGTGAAGTGTAATTTGATTCTGATAAAAAAATGATTCAACAGGGATTTCAAAAAGTGGGTATCATTGCTGTGTTACATGCAGAACCTTGATCTTTTATTTTATTGGGACTCACAAATCACTACTAATTTCCGTAATAATATATCAGTATCACTTCATTTATTTATTTTCATTGAAATAATGACCACAATGAATACGTTTATCTTTTTTGTGTTAATTTACTCTTCAATAAAGTGCATCTATCATGTCAGTAGTTTTTTTTTTTGTGTTGTTTACAAAGTGTGTGTGGAGAAAAAAAAGAGGTTGTTTGGCAACCATTTTGAATTTATAATAAAGTCATTAGCGACATCTTGAATTAGCGAATCGAGTTCTCGCGCTAAATTCGCAAAAAAGATGCTCGCGAAAAAGACATGTTTTACAGTATGTTGTATTGTGCCATACAGTAAATAATACATAAACAAGCAAAAATCAAATGATGTTTCAGCCATTACTCCTATGTTTCATTTGACAAGATACTGAAGTATTGTAGTTTTCAAAGCAACATCTTGAAGGTAAACATAAGCTTGATTAGTTTGTGTGATTTGCAAAACCTACACATTGTCAATTTTCTGATTATTTACCTGTGAAAAAGCAGCCAATGAATTTAATTTAAAACTCACCATACTCTTCCAAATTTACATAAAAATTTGTTAGTTTAAAGGGCGATGGCCGTCGTGCAGCATATGTTTGATTTTTGATTTTGATGTACACAACCAAAGCATTTTACATGTGTTGTATGTGTCGCTATATAACTCATATTGAACATGACGTGGTACTACGACCACCACCCTTTAAAAGTGACAACTGGAGTATGGGTATTGTGTTAAGTTGTAAATATATCCTCTTTACATCCAAAAAATAGAAAATATAACATAATAACCATATACTTTCAAGAACAAGCGACCTT